TATATGTGTGTACGTATGTATGTGTGTATGTGTGTGTGTACATTGTAGAGAAAAATATAGTTGAAATTGAGGGTTCATAAGTAAAATTATTCAGGATATACCTAATCTTAAAATATTAATTTCAAGGGGGGCTGGGAAGGTGGCTCAGTGGTAGAGCGCTTGCCTTGCATGCCTGAGGCCCTGGGTTCGATTTCTCAGCACCACATAAGCAAAAAAGAAAAAAGCCGGAAGTGGTGCTGTGGCTCAAGCGGTAGAGCACTACCCTTGAGCTGAAGAGCTGAGGGACAGCGCCCAGGCCCAGAGTTTAGGCCCCACGACCGGACCAAAAAAAAAAAAAAAAACAAATATTAATTTCAAGTCAGGCGCTGGTGGCTCATGATTGTAATCCTAGCTACTCAGGGGGCTGAGAGTTGAGGATCCAGGTTCGAAGTCAGAGGGGCAGAAAAGACTGAGACTTTTTTTTTCCTGTAAGACTGTTATCTCCAATTAATCACAGAAAAAGCCAGAAGGGACGCTGTGGCTCAAGTGGTAGAGTATTATCCTTGAGCAAAAAAGATGTTCAGCAGGGATAGCGCCCAGGCCCTGAATTCATCAAGACTGGCAACAAATATATAAAATAATTATTTCAAGTTGATTTTCTTTTTTTCTTTTTCTTTTATTGTTGATCATAGGACTTGAACTCAGCTCCACTTCCAATTTTCTGGTAATAAGAGTCTCATGGACTTTTCTGCCTGGGCTAGAATTGAACTGTGATCCTCACATCTCAGGCCCCTGAGTAGCTAGGATTACAGGTGTGAGCCACTGGTGGCTTCTTTTTATTTTTATTTTTATTTTTTTTTTTTGGTCCAGTAGTGGGGCCTGAACTCTGGGCCTGGGCGCTGTCCCTCAGCTCTTCAGCTCAAGGCTAGTGCTCTACCACTTGAGCCACAGCGCCACTTCCGGCTTTTTTCTTTTTGCTTATGTGGTGCTGAGGAATCGAACCCAGGGCCTCATGCATGCAAGGCAAGCGCTCTACCACTGAGCCACCTTCCCAGCCCTTCTTTTTATATTTTTGGAGACAGGGTCTTGCTGTATTGTTCATGTTGTCTTCAAACTCCTGGGCTCAAGCAATCCCCCAACTCAGCCTTCTGAGTGGCTAAGAATACAAACGTGTACCACCATCTCTGGCTAATCTCTTCTTTGTACTTAAAAACAATCCAGGCAAAATCAAACTCCAGGTAGGTCCTCCTTGCATGCAATAAACTCCTCTAGAGGCTGGGAATGTGGCTCAGTGGCAGAGTGATTGCCTAGCATGCATGAGGCCCTTGGTTCAATTCCTCAGTACCACATACACAGAAGTGGTACTGTGTGGCTCAAGTGGTAGAGTGCTAGCCTTGAGCAAAGGAAGCTCAAGAAAGAAAGAAAGAAAGAAAGGAAGGAAGAAAGGAAGGAAGGAAGGAAGGAAGGAAGGAAGGAAGGAAGGAAGGAAGGAAGGAAGGAAGGAAAGGAAAGAAAGGAAGGAAAGAAAAAAGAAAGAAAGAGGGGCTGGGAAGGTGGCTCAGTGGTAGAGCGCTTGCCTTGCATGCCTGAGGCCCTGGGTTCGATTCTTCAGCACCACATAAGAAAAAAGCCAGAAGTGGCGCTGTGGCTCAAGTGGTAGAGTGCTAGCCTTGAGCTGAAGAGTTGAGAGAGAGCGCCCAGGCCCAGAGTTCAGGCCCCACGACCGAACCCAAAGAAAGAAAGGAAGGAAGGAAGGAAGGAAGGAAGGAAGGAAGGAAGGAAGGAAGGAAGGACTCAGTGGTAGAGCACTTGCCTTGCAAGCCTAAGGCCCTGGGTTCGATTCCTCAGCACCACATAAGCAAAAAGAAAAAAAAGCCAGAAGTGGCGCTGTGGCTCAAGTGGTAGAGCGCTAGCCTTGAGCTGAAGAGTTGAGAGAGAGCGCCCAGGCCCAGAGTTCAGGCCCCACGACCGAACCCAAAAGAAAGAAAGGAAGGAAGGAAGGAAGGGAGGGAGGAAGGAAGGAGGAAAGAAAGAGAGAGAAGGAAAGAAAGAGAAAAAGGAAGGAAGGAAGGAAGGAAGGAAACTCCTCTTTCAGGGGCCCTTACTGTCAATGATGCCACTGTTGTTCAAACCCAGCCTTGGAGCTATCAGGCACTCCTCTGCCTTGAACCCCATATCCAACTCCAGCAAATCAGACCAGCTCTGCCTCCAAGTACAGCTGAACCCTCCTACTTCCCACCACTCCTCTCTCCCCCTGGCCAAGCCACTGTCCTCTCTCTTCAAGCCACTGTTCATTCACATCTAAGGACTTAGCAGGTGCCAGGCTTCCACTCTTGCTGCTCAAATCCAAGAAAGATCTTTCTCCAGTCACAAAGCAGACTGCATCGAGAAGCTTCGCATGACACAAAGGCTATTGCCAGCATCTACCAAGCCAATTCAAGGGCTGCAGCTCCCTTGGGCCATGGCTACTACTCTCCCCCAAGTATTCAACCACAGCCACAGTGGTCCTCCCTGGGGCTCCTGAAAAGGCAAAGCCTTTGTACACCTCTCCTCACACCCTTTCATGTCCCTTACTACACCTCCACAAACGTGGAGACAGAACCCCATTGAACCCAAGCTTCTGTGTGTGGCACACACTGCCTTATCAGAGGGAGACGGCTGGTTGTTTTTTGTTCAAAAGCTCTTTTCTCCAAAAGACCTTTTAAGGTTCCACACTCCCTGGCAAGGAAAGGGGAATTCCTCAGGACAATGATCCACTCCGCACTCTGCCAAGTAGCTCTAGAACCTCTTGAGTAATCCCAGCCCTTCCTTCCTTGCAAGCCCCTCTGCCTGGATCACTGGAGGCTGTTCATGGCCTGTGCTAGCAATACAGACATGGAACCCCACTTAGCTAACTTCAGCAGGTACCTATGTACTTGTGTAAGTATGTATGCATATCCTCCTGGAATGTTCCTCCTCTCCTCTGCCTGGAAAACCTGACTCTCTTTCAAGGATTGTGCAATTCTCTGCTGCCTGCCCAGGGCTCCTGATGCAGACCCACACAGACCTGGGAGTGTCTTACACACTATGCCAATGGCATAGGTGCCTTCTCCCAAGTTGGGCTATACACAGTGAGGGTGGCTACCCTGTCTCATTCATCCATGCACTCCCAGGCTGAGAAGCCAGAGTAGCAACCTCCACAACCATCTGCCGAACACAGGCATCTGAGCAGACTCAGGACAGCACCCTGCCTGGACTAGACACCATGATACCTTGTGAGCAAGGATGACCTGGTCTGTCTGATAGGGTGTGAGTGGAGTTGAGGAGGCTTGTATAGGCATCTCTGGAAGTCCCCTGATTTGCATCAAGATGCTATATGTCTGTCATTTTTAAGAGTCTAACATCACCCAAATTGGGGCAAGGCAAGCTTATTTTCTATCTGACCAGTCTCCTGGGCAGGGGGAGAAGGTGGCAGCTACCTTGCTCTGCATATTCCAGGTGACCACTCTTTCCATAGTAAGCTAACTCAACAGGCACCACTTACCAATTCTTCCCAGCATCCCTTTCCCTCAACACCACAGTCAAGCTAGTGTTTCCCAGATACTTTCTACAATGGGGACATTCATGCCCTTCCAGACCTTTCAGACCTCTCAACTCCCAGACTCTACACAATGCCTGCTTAGCCAGTGTGTTGATAGCTAATGTTTGTAATGCTAGCTATACTCAGGAGGCTGAGATCTGAGGATCGCAGTTCAAAGTCAGCCCAGGAAGACAAAGCCAAAAGACTTTTATGGCTCAAGTGGTAAGGCAGTACAATCCCCAGTACCAGTACCAGACACCCCCCCCCCCCCCACACACACACATACAAGTCTTCCTTAACACACAGCAGTGAAGGCTAACCTAATCCTATCATTCTGATGCCTCAAGACCAAGGCCAATGATCTCAGAAGACACAGGATCAAAGCTGGCTCACACCTATAATGCTAGCTACTTAGGAGGCTGAGGTCAGAGGATCATGGTCTGAAGCCAGTCTGGGCTTGAAAGTTTGTGAGACTCTTTTCTTTTCTTTTTGCCAGTCGTGGGGCCTGGACGCTGTCCCTCAGCTCTTCAGCTCAAGGCTAGTGCTCTATCACTTGAGCCACAGCGCCACTTCCAGCTTTTTTTTCTGCTTAGGTGGTGCTGAGGAATCGAACCCAAGGCCTCATGCATGCAAGGCAAGCGCTCTACCACTGAGCCACCTTCCCAGCCCAGCGAGACTCTTACCTCCACTAAAACTACCAGAAAGCTGGAAGTAGAGCTATGTAGTTGGAAGTGATAGGTCACTTGCCCTGAGCAGAAAAGCTAAGGGGCAGGGCCCAGGCCTAGAGTTCAAGCCCCAGGACCGGCAAAAAAAATAAATAATAATAATAATAATAAACACCAGAATCAAAGCCGGGCGGGGAGATGGAGAGGGGAGATGGGCGCAGTCTCACCCAGAGGCCTGGACTTCCAATGTCACCTTGCAGAGGGGCAGCTGAGACCAAGGGAGGCACAGTGAAGCTGGAACCCAAACCAAGGTCCCCACCACCTCTGCCAATCCTTCGGAACAGCCCACAGCTTAAGGGGAGCTCTGGAGTCAGACTGCCTGGGTGACCTGGCCTTCTGCGCCTCAGTTTCCTCATTTGTAAGAGTGACTACAGTATTATTTCCTGCGGCTACACTGAAATTAAAAGGCCCAATGAGAGGCGACCCGCAGAGAGGCCAGCGTGCAGCACGCGTCGCACGCGCGCGGGCCGCCCCGGCGGTCCCCGGGCTCGCGCCCCGGCGGGCTCCGCGGCCGCGCCCGCTTCCGGCTCGCGGACGCCCCCACCCAGCCGGACCCCGGCGCCTCGCGGGCGGCCGGGCGGCGGCGCGCATGCGCGGGGCCCAACCCCGCGCGGCTGCCGCGCGCTGCTCGCGCCCGGACCAGGGAAGCGAGGAGCGGGCGGAGGTCACGCTCCACCACCCGACAGTACACCGGGGCTCCCGACCCCCAAGCCCGGAGGGCCGGTCAGTCTCCTCACACTCTGCAGCAGGCTCCTCCTCTGCGCCGCCATCTTGGAGGACCCCCGCGGCGCTCCCGCCCCCACAGCGGAGCAACGAGAAGGACGGGTAGAGAGGCTGAAAGCGCCTTGGAGGACCAAAGTTCCAGGGAGCATGCGCACAGCGCCACCCGGGGGTGGGGGTGGGGGGCGCCTAGGGAGAGAGCATGCGCACAGCGCCACCGTGGAGGAAGTGTGCGCGCTGGTGCACTCTGAACTGTTGGTGTGCCCTCGCGGGTGTTCATTCCCGCACTTTCTCCGGGATTCTTTCCGACGGGACCCTGATTAAGGCTTTGGGGCCTGAGGAGAGCGGATTATTCACTCAACAAATGACTGTGTGTCTGCCGCCGCTGTCGCAGATGTCACAGCCAGCAAACGCAGCCTAGAAAGCTGTTAGCCGGGCGCCGGTGGCTCACGCCTGCAGTCCTAGCTACTCAGGAGGCTGAGATCTGAGCATCGAGGTTCAAAGCCAGCCCGGGCAGGAAAGTCCGTGAGGATCCTGAAGTGGAGCTGTGGAGCGCCAGCCTTGAGCGAGGGACAGTGCGTGAGCCCTGAGTCCAAGCCCCGGGACGGGCACACGCACGCACGCACACACGAGCTGGAAGTGGAGCTGTGGGAAAAACTGAAGGATAGTGCCAGCTCCTGAGCTCAAGTCTCGGTACCAACATTGGAATTGGTGGGGGCCGGGGTGGGGTGGGGACTGCATTTGAAGAAGAGCAGTCCAGGGGGAGGCGACTGCAAGAGCAAAGAGGCCTGAGAAAGAGATCACCGAACTCACACTTTTAGTAAGACTGAGTGACAGTCCTGTCACCTGTGTGCTTGCACAAGCCACCTCAGTGGGATATGGAAAGGCCTGACTTCAAGTAGGTGTTAATGGTCAGATTATAACAAATTAGATGTTAATGTTAAGATTACATTTAAGCTGGGAAGGTGGCTCAGTGGTAGAGTGCTTGCCTTGCATGCATGAGGCCATGGGTTCAATTCCTCAGCACCACATAAGCAGAAAAGGCCAGAAGTGGCGTTGTGGCTTTTTACCCCAAGATGCCTTTCTTGGGCTGGGAATGTGGCTTAATGGTAAAGTGTGCATGAAACCCTAGATTCGATTCCTCAGTAATACATACACAGAAAAAGCCGGAAGTGGCTCTGTGGCTAAAGTGGTAGTAGAGTGCTTGCCTTGAGCAAAAGAAGCTCAGGGACAGTGTCCAGGCCCTGACTTCAAGCCCCATCTGGCAATAAAATAAAATAAAATGCCTCTCTCAATCGTGTGTGTGTGTGTGTGTGTGTGTGTGTGTGTGTGTGTGTGTGTGTGTGCCAGTACTGATGCTTGAATTCATATTCTCATTTGGATTTTCGTTCAAGGCTGGAAATCTACCACTTGAGCTGCATCTCTACTTCCAGCTTTTTGCTGGTTAATTGGAGATGAGTCTCTAAATCACTAGCTTTGGACCATGATCTTCACATCTCAGCCTCCTGTGTAGCTGATTACAGGCATGAGCCACCAGCTCCCAGCTCTCAATCACTTTTGATTCTTTCAAACTGTAGTTACTGTTTGCAGTGAACTTCATGAAATGAGGACCCACGGTAAGTTTGCTCTGAGTTTTCTCACAGACTCTAGAAGCCGTTTAGCAAATGTTTGTAATATCAACTTGGTTGATGAACCAGGGTGAGATGAATTGACATATTGGTAAATGTGAGGCACAGCAGTACTAATGTCCCCCAAGTAATTTATACGGATGCTGGAACTCCATTTTGGGCATCCCTTACTGCTCTCTGTACCCCTAATCACCTAAACAACATAGTAGGGCAAACCCTCCCTCCACATTGGTCTGGTTTTTCAGAATTGGAATAAGTTCACAATGGTACTTGGGAGAAAAAGCATTGTTAGTACTTACTACGTGCAGTGTGCTGGGCTCCCAGAGGCTGTGTGATGAATTGGAAGAAGTCTGCTGTATGAAGTCCTCACCCACACACACTTCTCTGGGGACAGTGCCCTGGAGGCCACAATGATGTGTGTCCTGCTGGGCTTGTGATCAGTTCAAGGCACCCTCTGTCCCAGTTAGTGGCCTTGATAACTACCCAGCCAGAGTGAGCTGTGGGCCCCATCCATCGTGGACACCCAGATGGGCAGATAGGCTGGCATGGATGCACCATGAAGCCCACTCCTGGCCCAGAACATCAGCCAACTGCACCCTCCCATTCCAAACCCTGGACAGCACAGACAGCTCACAACCCTCAGTGTGGGAGGACACCTCAGGAGGGTTGTGAGAGGTCTGCCTTCCTAGAAACTCTGGACTGCCAGCAGCCCCCATGGAACCACAGGCTCCTTTCCCTTCACAAATGACCACTGTGGCTACTCTGGTTTGCACATTTGGCTTGAAAAGATGATATAAGAAGCCCAGCTTGGTGGCTCACACCTGTAATTCCTGGCTACTCAGGAGGCTGAGACTTGAGGACTGTGGTTCTGAAGCCAGCCCAGACAGGAAGGCACACTAGACTTTTATCTCTAATTTAAACTACCCAAAATCCTGAAGTGGACCTATGAATCAAATGATAGTGTCAAACACAATTAAAAAAAAAAAAAAAGAAAGAAAGAGGGGCTGGGAAGGTGGCTCAGTGGTAGAATGCTCGCCTTGCATGCATGAGGCCCTGGGTTTGATTCCTCAGCGCCACATAATCAGAAAAAGCCAGAAGTGGTGCTGTGGCTCAAGTGGTAGAGCATTAGCCTTGAGTTAAAGAGCTGAGGGACAGCGCCCAGGCCCAGAGTTCAGGCCCCAGGATCGACAGGAAGGAAGGAAGGAAGGAAGGGAGAGAGAGAGAAAAAGAAAAAAACTAAGGAACTGCACTCAGGCACTGAGTTCAAGCCCAGTATTTGCACATACACATGCACTCACACACCCACCCCACACACACACACACACACCCAGCCCAAGCCCAGTGTTGTGATGGGGCCTGAGAGAATTTTCCCATCAGCCTACCATTCTCATCCCTACCCTCACCTTTGTTTTCAGTCCCTCCGTTCTGGCCCAGATCCAAGGAGATGCTGTAGCCTAGTTGCCATAGAAACAAAAGTACCACACTGGACAGGTTCCTGACCTTTCCAGTTTTTCCCTGTTGTAGATGTGTGGCTGAGTAGTCTTGGTATTGATTGCTTTAATGGATGCTTTGTATTCTGTCACTGGAGATGGTTAGCTAGTAAACTTACGTTCTTTTGGGGATAGAGATTATAAACAGTTCTGCAGTGAGCAGTCATCAAGCACTGGAAAACTATTTATTGAATGTCTTAGAGATCCATGACAAACTAGATGGGAAAGGAGAATTTGCATTATAATACTTTAGCATGCACACACAAATGGTACTTCAAAGGAAATGTTGCTGGCTTACATAGATGATTTGGATTAAAAATAACAGCTCTCATGCTGGGCCCTGGTGGCTCACGCCTGTAATCCTAGCTACTCAGGAGGCTGAGATCTGAGGATCATGGTTCAAAGCCAGCCCTGGCAGGAAAGTCCCTGAGACTCTTATCTCCAATAAACCACTAGAAAACTGGAAGTGGCACTGTGGCTCAAGCGGTATAGCACTCACCTTGAGCTGAAGAGCACAGGGAAAGCACCCAAACCCAGAGTTCAAGCCCCATGAATAACCAAAAAAAAAAAAACAAAAAAAAACAGCTCTCCAGGTGATGGTGGCACAGCTTATAATCCTATTTACTCAGGAGGCTGAGATCTGAGGATCATGGTTCAAAACCAGCCTGGGCAGGAAAGTCCAAGAGACTCTTATCTTCAATTAACTTAAAAAAAAAAAAAAAAAAAAAAAAGCCAGAAATGAAGCTGCTAGCCTTGAGCAAAAAATGCTCATGGATGGCTCCCAGGCCCTGAGTTCAAGCCCCAGGACTGGCACAAAAAAAATAAAGCTGGGCACTGATAACTCATACTTGTAATCCTAGCTACTCAGGAGGCTCAGATCTGGGGATTGCAGTTCCAAGCCAACCTAGGCAGATTTGAGGATTGTGGTTTGAAGCCAACCTAGGCAGAAAAGTCCCTGTGAAGCTCTTATCTCCAATTAACCCCTCAAAAACCAGTATTAAAGCTGTGGCTCAAAGTGGTAGAGCACTAGCCTTGAACAAAAGACCTCAGAGACAGAGCCCAGGCCCTGAGTTCAAGCCCCATGACTGATTTAAAAAAATTGAATAAAAAATATGTATGTGTAAGAAAGCTGGATGCTGGTGGCTTATAACTGTAATCCTAGCTACTGAAGAGGCTGAGATCTGAGGATGGTGGTTCAAAGCCAGCCCAGGCAATAAAGTCCTTGAGTCTCTTATCTCCAATTAACTACGAGAAAATTGGAAATGGTTCTGTGGCTCAAAGTCATAGAGCACTAGCCTTGAACAAAAGATCTCAGACACAATGCCCAAGCTCTGAGTTCAGAAAGAAAGAGATGGGGGAGGAAGGAGGGAAGGAGGAAGGGAAGAAGGAAGGAAGGGAGGAAGGGAGGGATGGAAGGATGGAGGGAGGAAGGAAGGTTACTGCTCAAGTGACAGAGTGCCTACCCACATAGATTGGCCCATTTGTATTTCTTCCTCTGTTCTAACCCATTTTGATGAGGAGCCTATATTAAGGTTGTGTGTGTGTGCCTGTACAGTACCTGGTACTCTTGCTTGTCTTAGTCATACCTCCAGTTCTGGCTTTTTGCTGTTAATTGAAGAGAAGAGCCTCTTGGGCTTTTCTGCCCAAGCTAGCTTCAAACTGCCATCCTCAGATCTCTGCCTCCTGAGTAGCTAGGATTACAGACACGAACCACCAACAGCTGGCATGACCCTATATTTCTTTTTTTTTTTTGCCAGTCCTGGGGCTTGAACTCAGGACCTTGGCCCTGTTCCTGAGCTTCTTTTTTGCTCAAGGCTAGCCCTCCACCACTTGAGCCACAGAGCTACTTCCAGCTTTTTCTGTGTATGTGGTACTGAGGAATCAAACCCAGGGCTTCATGCATGCTAGGCAAGCACTCTACCACATTTCTACCACATTCCTAGCCCCCACAGCCTATATTTCTATCTGCTTACATACTG